ATTAAGGACCGAACTGTGAATCTATGGTTTATTATGGCTTATGAGTTACCATATATATATTGTTCTAGCGAACTCTATATAAGTAAGATTTACCTATTTACATGTAGTTTAACTATGAATTTCTTATTTCATATCATTGTGATTATTTTATTGTTTGATCTCTTGAATATATTCAATGGGTACCTATCAAGTATCAGGCGCGGTTACTAAAATTCTACCCGTAAGCATGCTCACAGACGGGAAAAAGCTAGAGTTTATACCCGTATCTTATCTGACCCGCTGCTCTCCCTACGCAGAAGTGCTTGCCCTGAGAGGCCTTGTGTGGCAGAACCTCCTAAATTATAGGGCCCACATGCACCTGTTACTGTCCAACGACCTTTGACACCCATGCATACGTTCCCGATAACTTAACAAGACTGTCGGGTGTCCTCGGAGAACCCGAATCATCCACGATTTCCGAGCAGGATCACATTACATAGTCAATGCAGTATTACAACAGTTTATTCAAATAGATACATCAGAGTAAAAACAGCGGAAGTCTTACAATAACATAGTTTACAAACCATTTGTTTCAAACCATACAACTAAGTTTGAAAATAATACAAACCAAAGTAGTGGAGTGGCATTATAACATATTACAGAACACACAAATAAGCTGCCCTGTCCAAGGGCCACACATCTACTTATCGTCATCATAAGGAACAACCGTCATGCAACACGATCCAAAACAGATCTGCTCATGAGCCTCACCTACAACAGGGGTCAACGAACCCTGAGTACAAAAGTACTCAACAAGACTTAACCAAAAATAAAAACTGATAGAACTTATGAATGCAGGCTCAGGGATTCAAGGTATGGCTTTAGCAATAATCAAAGTTCTTTTGCGTAAAAGCTTTTTAATAAAATTATTTATATCAACATTAAAACTTCATAAGACATATACAAAGCTGACACGATCCGTAATGAGATCATGAAACTTCATAACCAACACCTTCACAGACCATCCTCAAGTTCCAGTTATTTATTACTACGATGATGAACAGTGAGTTGAGTCTTCATAATCGAGGAGCAACGACGATTCGAACCGATTAAAAACCCAGCTGGGAATTCCAGACCACAGGACATATGCAGGTCCCCGACCTACATATACCAACCTACCCTCGGATCCTCTAAACAAGAACAGGTCCACGCCACCCGAGAATACAGTACTCCACCAATCCAGCCCATTGCCACATGGGTACAGGCTATTCCCACCATCTCTCCACTCCCAGTGCGCGAGTAGCCATTCTCGTAATAGAATAGCCAAGTTAAGGCTTACCGGAGTATGCGGTTAGTACTACAAAGTCTCACCTCATGCAATTCAACAACGGACGGACCTTAATCGACACAAGCGGAAAGAACCTGCTCACAAGACCTCCATGTCTTGTGGCTCACACACACCGAGTCCGCCCGGTCTAGATTTATTACTCCACATTACCATATCACATGATAACATAAGTAACCAAAGTTCAATTTAAAACTTGCAGATGATAGGTAATCACCCGACTTTCATCGTTCTAAGCATAGCTAAGCAAAACTAGGCATATACGAATTAAAAACTGGTAATATGGTAAATATGGAATAACAAAGTTGGTAATGCATCAATTAGGTTTCCACTTGACTTCTAATCACTTAATGCAGTAAAAAGAAACAAAAGCGAAACCAATTTGTAAAATACAAGGTAGGGTTGTATGCATCCGAGGCTTGCCTTCGTTGACGGAAAAGTCCGGGTCCGGAGTCGTTCCACCGATATCAACACCAACCTCCACAGACGGATCAACCTCCTCAACTACTTGATTAACTACCACGTGTTCACCTTCGTCCACTACACGTAGTAACAATGCCATGTTTAACATGATGCAGAATACGAAATATGATGCTCGATGATGGATGCAAAATTAACAACTTGAATATAACTTTCCTTCGCGGTACAGTTATAAGTTAAACTAACTAAACTATTTTCGCAACACTTACATCAATTGCCAAGGATCATCACCAACTAATGACCCAAGGACATCACTCAATCAAAAACTCAAACAAAACCTAAATCATTAAAGGTTACTATTTGCTTTTATGAATTAATTAATTAATTAAGAATTATGAAATAAACCAACTTGTTCCAATTGGCCTCAAAATTTTTGAAAATGTTCATCACATGATAACTAAGTGACAAAACAATTTTCATAATTTTTGGATACATAAATAAGCCTAGAAAAATCCTGGAAACTCATTTATTAATTAATTGAGCAATTTTTATCACATTCAAAAAGTACTGAAAACAACATTTCATATTTTTCCTAAATAATATACATCACAGAGAGGTCACACAAAAATTTTCATAATTTTTGAAGCTCTCAATAAATCCACACAAAAATAACAAAAACAGACACTATTCATTCATTCCAGAAAATAGAAAAAATCATTTTTGAACTACACAGTCACTGACATCCCGACCCCACATGTCATCTTCAACCTCAGGCTTTGACTCTGGCGACACGCGCGCTGACCGGCGATATCTCGTCGACGACGAGACCAACGGTGACGACCAAGGTACCAAAACACTACCCTCGACTAGGCGCATCGATTTGGGGCACAAGCTGGACCAGCTACGGGCTGGACCGAGCACTACGCCGGCCATGGTGGCCACGATGGCGCGGCTACGCTACGCTGGCGACGTGAGACTTGTAAAGCTTAAACAAATGGCCCAGGAAGCATCAGCAGCTCACCCCAAACGTGACTGAGTAGAGCACAAGGCCGGAAGAGCACTGGAGACACCGTTCGACGGGCACAGCGGTCACGGTAGAGCAAGCAACGGCGACAGTGACGCTCCGGTGGCTGCGGTGGACAATTTAATCAAGCATCAAGGTACAAAGCACCACGGCATCGTGGCGAAACTGAATCACGGCTCGGCAAGGACAGAGACTCACCGCAACGCGCTGACGACGACGAAACGGGATCGCGGGTGAGGTTGCCGGCCGCGAGGAAGAAGAGCGCACACCGCGAGTTTTCGGTGAAGACAAGCGACAAAAGCAGGTTGGTTGGGTGCGCAACGAGTAGGCGGAGTTGTGACAAGCTTTGCAGCGGCTGGAGTGCGCTAAACTGACGGTGAGAGCTCGCCGGAGTTATGGCCGTGACATCGGGAAAATAGAGCAAGAGAGCGGGAGCAAACGGCGACGGCCAAGGCTAAATAGAACGGCTCAGAAGTGCAAGGAAGCTACGCAGTGGCCTTCACCGCGCCAACGCGACGCCAAAGACAGCCACGACCGCGCCTGGAAGCAAACCGAAGGTCGCCGACAATGTAGCAAGAGCGGTGAACACTATTCATCGAAATTACAGAATTGCCATCCAGTTTAAAAATCCAAATTACTCCCAAATTTGTATAACAACTCAAAAATCTCCAAAAACAAAAGTTGTTCAAAATCAAATGTTCTACAACTTTGCTTTTATAACCAACCCCTAATTCGGTCTATATTTTGAAATGAACTTTTGAATTCAAATAGGGGACATTTAAAGAATTTCGTCTTTTCAAATAACTTCAAATTTTACTAAACAACTTGAAAAACTCCAAAAACAAACTTTGTACAACTCGACAAGCTCTACAACTTTGCTTTTAGACTCAACCCCAAAATATGCTTCGATTTTGAAATGGGTTTTCAGGGTAGGATTTAAATATTGAAAATCGGGGTTTTTGGAATTTCAAATCAATACAAAGATTTCGAGCTTGATTCAAACAATACCAAGCAATACTTATAACATAAACGTAAACTTGTTTTAGTGAATGCATATCAAAGTTTGCAATATGACCAATACCTTGCAATGCATATGATGATATGTCCAGTTTTTAATATTTAAACACCCGGGTGTTACACCTTGTCCCCTAAGTCCCTAACGGCAGTAAGCTTGTTCCCGGTGTCGGCAATAGTGGTCTTAATCAATTTTTCCATTTGTTCTTGAGTTTTCCTGTTGTTTTACATGCGCATAAAAGAAGCCAGATCTGGTGGTAGAGATTAAGCAGTTCCCAGAATAAATCATTTATAATAAATAAATAAATAAACTATATATATTTTTTGAGAATCAATAAATAAACTATATGATATGTTAGTACAATAAACTCTGTTCCTCTGCGCGCCAAGGCCGCAATGTAAGGCCCACATCCTATTGTACCTGGCCCGTCCACATGCAGGCTGCGGCCATGGCACTTGGGGAGTTGTGGTCTCCCGCGTTCGCACATCAGCGCAAAAGGTTTGAGGCCTCTTTGAACTTCTCCGTGCTCAGGCCCATTAAACAATTCAGCGAGTTATGGCCCGTGCCCAAGAGGCTCGTCGGCGCTTTTCCGTCCAGCAAGCGCTGATGAAGAGAGCCGCCCGACGCTCTCTAGTTTCTCTACTCGTCACGAGCATTTCGTCAAAACAGCTCGCCGGCGAGGCTCCATTGCGTGGATGGATCACCCCCTTGCTGCCCCGCATCTTTTCATGTACTAATCTCAATCTGGTCCGTCTTTTCTTCGTCTTCCCTCGATACCCACCAGCTTGTCGTTAGTAAAGTCCCGTTCTGAATTCCTTATTTCAACGGATGGCCATCTGGATATCTAATCATCCGAACTACCTGTGTTATAACTTGAGCAACACAGTTTAGATCTATTTGGGTCGCCATATTTTTTTTATTGTGAGGAAACGCATCCACCTTTTCAGAGCATTGTTGGAGTGTTGCAGCGAACAGCCAGTGTGTCAAACTTAACGTGTACAAAATTGGCAAAAGCTGAACTTGTTATAACATCGTAGGAATTGGGCATTATCGGCTAATTTTGCACCAACAGGTTCAATATCCTCTATCAGCTATACAATTTGACTCGAGATTGACAAGCTCTGACTAATGAATACGCTATTTACATACAATGCAACCCTTCTTCCGCAACGCCTGCACTACTTGAGCCTTGGGATTAATCAAGCTGTCTCACCGTTTTACCTCTTCTGGAAGTTGAATATCTTGAGCGAGAGCCCGAAAAGCAAGGCAAAGAGCACAGGAAATGCGACCACCACCACGGCAACCACCCACAGCAAGTCATGATGGTACCCAAAGTAGTCTTCGACAAAGTCAGATATACGCATCCCACCGTTACTGAACGTCTCGGTTACGTCTCCAAATTGTGAAGTGACCAGTCCGTTGAGTGTCCATGCAATTGGGCAAATCCAGTAGAACCATCTCCACCAAACTGGAATTCTCTGTAGGGGCAAGTTGCCATTTTGAGCACAGATGAATTAGCATATATAACGAAAAGTAGGAGCACAGATTGGTTAGAAGTGAAACTACTAGACCTTTGAAAGAATTACTTTACTTACAGTTCTTGGTATTAAAAATCCCGAGAAAAGGTTCCAAATGGCATAAAACGCCGTGGACGCAACAGAGGAGACATTGTAGTTTGGAGTCAGGCCCACCACCATCATCCCGTAAAATGTGTAGTATGCTAGAGTGAAATACATGAAGAACAGGTACCAAAAGAACTTGGCAGCTGTCCATTCAAACCCAATCATAGCATACACCAGTACACCATATATTAAGGACTGAACAAAGATGTATGGAAGTTCAATTACAACCTGCAAATGGAGGTACAAGTTAGAACAACTTTTTGCTCTGTTTCCCTTTCTATTTCTCATGTTGTACTTTGATTTGAAGGGATTTTACTGTCTGTACCACCTTTTTATGGATGGAATAGAGTAGCTTACACATTCTTGAATCTGATTATGATTTGTTACAGCCAAATTTAATGTGATATCTCTGTTTTACTCACTAATTTTTTTCACATTCATTTGAAGTGATCGTTGGATGAATGCCAGTAAATTTTACCTGTCCCAAGGCATATGGCAATGGCGAGTACATATGAGCCGCCCTTTCCCTGTAAAAGACTGTTCGCTCAACTGATACAACTGGCTGAATTGAACCAGAATTCTGTACTCCCATGAAAATAACCGAGGCATACATGGAACCCATGGCATTGAACAAGTCCTGTTGACTATCCCTGCAAGAGTAGAAGTAATATCTCCAGTGAACTGCAAGTTTGTGGTGAATGGGGACCAGGGGTGGCCTCTGTAACCGTAGGAAATTTGACATTTACATTTTTCTACTTCATTTTTGTTTATTATCATTACCTTTTTCTGCCTACACCCCAGAACATTGTTCCAAACAACAGGGCAATCACTGTTGTGTAGAAGTATTTGACAGCAGTATATGGAGGGTTTCTCCAATATGACATACTTTGCTTCCACAGGCAAGCGGAACACTGTGTGAGGAAAGTCTGCGAGTATTCGGTTGGAAAGGATAGGTCACTTGAACCTTCTGGAGGCGTGCTTAGCTCCTTTATCAAAGTTTTATTCCTCCTGAAATACAACAAAGTTACAAAATTAGTGTTGACTGAGACATTGTTTGACAGTGTATTATCTTTTTTGTGGAATTGAAATATCAATTCCAAAATAGAGTTACATATTAATATTTTGACCTTTTCAAAGGATATGTATATGGTTTCAGAATTATTTATGCACATATTGTTTGAAAATAGGGAAAACAGGAATATTCCGCTGCAGGGCAGATGGACCCGGTACCCTAAACCCTTAGCAGTGTCAATATATGCCCCTCCTAGAGGATAAAATCCATACTCTTGGAAAAGGCCTTGTGCTTTGCAGTTTAAGGATCTGCACTCTCAGACTACTAGTGTTTAAAAATAATGAAGCCATTTACAATTTCTTTCCTATTCTCAAAATATGACATTTTGGAGCCTGAATCAAAGTCAGATAGGTCTGTACTTCTTACTCCTCGATAAGATAATTATAAACTATATGAACCATAACACACATGCACATACCTGTATAATTCTGAATTCTTGTATACTTCACTGAAGTTAATACCAGTTATCTGTTCTTGCATTGTACTAGTCACTTCCAGCATCCATGTCGAGGGGTTGTAGCCATCTTTTATCTTGTTGACACCTTCGATACCCTTGGTAGAATCAAGGAAAGCCCAGTTAGATAATGTCAGTGTGAAACTGTAATTCGTTGAAATATACAATAGTTAAGTTGCTCCTTCCTCACCTCAAAATATTTGATCAGTTCACATGAGTGTAGTCCTAGTGGACCTACATAAATCTCTTCACCTCCACGTTTCATAAGGAAGAGCTGCAGTTGTGCACAGAGCCATTAGGTGTTAAAGTTCTGGAAACTATAATGCAAATAGCAAAAGTGTTGGTTCACTCTTTCCTTCTGCATTCTAAAATAAGAAACTATGTTTTGTATGGTTTTCTTCACCTCATCAAAAGATTCAAAGATATCTATACTTGGCTGGTGAATGGTACAAACAACAGTTCTTCCTGTGTCCACAGTATTCCTTATTGCCCTCATGACAATAGCTGCTGCTCGAGCATCAAGTCCAGATGTCGGTTCATCCATGAAAATTATAGAAGGATTAGCAACAAGCTCAACAGCTATTGTTAGCCTCTTCCTTTGCTCTGTTGATAGTCCACTCACACCAGGCAATCCCACCAATGCATCTTTTAAGGGTAAAAGCTCCACAAGCTCCATAACCTCATCAATAAACATCTGCACAGAGAAAATCAGATTTTATGTGTCATAGTACATAGTGAGACACTGACTAAAAAGTTATTACTTATACTGTAAAATGACCAGCATGTTCGATCATGTCTATCTGAAAGTTTCTATGAACTTAAATTCTGGGTTGTTCAAGATTTCCATCTATATTATCACATAACATTTTTTATCAACTTGGCTGTGATCTTTATTTTTTTGGAACAAAAACTTGGCTGTGAACTCAAAATCTAGTTTTGTCAAGATTTTCATCTATATCACTACATAACATTTCAGACCAACTGGTAAAATTACTCTCATTCTAACCATATTACACAAACTTTGCTAATGCATGCATGTATAATTTTGTTAAACAAAGTGATGTCTTTGTTCTTTGGCAAACCTTTCTTGTTGAGGAATCAACATCAGCAGGTAATCTGAGCCATGCGGAGAATGCAAGGGATTCATAGACAGTAACATTTGGTGAATGGATGTCATTTTGCTCACAGTATCCTGACACACGAGCAAAAGTTTCTTGTTTCTTCGGGTAACCTGATATGGTAATGTTGCCCTCAATGTATCCACTGGTCTTCCTCCCAGCCAACACATCCATCAGTGTTGTCTTGCCAGCACCACTGACACCCATAAGAGCAGTAAGTACTCCTGGCCTAAACGAACCACTTATACCCTTCAGTAGTTCCAACCGGGTCTCTGTGACACCTTGTGCTCTGATTGCCTACATGTTTTATTGGATATAAATAAACTATTATAAATGAATGCTTTGCACTTAGATGGTATGAAAACATACAAGAATCTGCAAGAATATTTGTAATTCCTTAAAACTGGCCCTTTGACTCCTTTTTTTCTTAATATAATGATGCTCAGCTCTCACATGTTCGATAAAAAATAAAAAATTTCCTTAAAAAGTGAATACCTCTGGCATGTCCACACTGTATCTTATATCTTCAAAAGTGATGGAGAGAGGTACAAAAGGGAGGACCATTCCTTTGTTAACTGGACTAGAATTTACTGTTGCATGGTTGGAAGCTGCTTCATCATTGCTCTCATCCAAAGTACCTGATAGCATATCACATATGCAAGGTTATCAGGCACATCAATATATTCTTATGTAATATTAATTAATTAAGATGAAACTAGAATTACTTCTAGCTGTTACTGTAGTGCTGGCAACCCGTCCTCTCGATGATGCTTCTAAAACTTCACCAGTTAGATTTGCTTGTTTTATCTTTAACGTCTCCTCAGAAATTGTTGGTTGATTGCTGTCAAATGCTGCAGGGAGCGTAATTCGTAAGGCTTGAATTTGATTGTTTGCAGTATGTATTTTAATGTCCTTGTATATGCAGAATACCATTTACTCACGTTTGAGGAATGTGAGGCAGATAGTGTAGAGCATATTGAATAGCAGCACATATCCAAGCAAGGCACCCACACCAATCCAGTACCATTTTGCCTCAGGAAAAAGTCCACTAGATTCTAGAACTAGTTTTCCAAGTGGTTCTGCTGAACCGGGGATTACTTGCTGCATATAAGAGTATCAATAAGCTTTAGTCATTATTCGTTGATTATACTTGTGAAGGTTATGCCTTTCTGAAAATATATTTTACCTTATTCCAGCTGCTACCCAGGAATTCATTTACTGATATGGCGTTTTGTGCATACATCAGGGGTGATATCCAGTACCCCAAATCCACCATTTCTTCACATTCTCTGTTAAATCAAAGGAATAGTTTAGTTCAAGAATTCTTGTATAAGTACCGCTGCCATATCAGATGAATAATAGCTGAAGTTAGGAAGTTCAAGCCATGTTTACATTGTTACATTATACTTTGAGTCAGCTGCTTTTGCATATACCTCTTGCCAGGAGGAATCCACCCAAAAGCATGCATATCAGAATGCCGAATGAACCAAGGGTGCTTGCAACAACCTGATGCCTTGCAAGCCCAGCAATGAAACGGAACAATCCTGATGATGCCTCATTCATTAGTAAGAGGAGCAGGAACTGTCTAAAAAGTCTGCAGCAGGTTGATCAAACTTGATCAGGTTCTGTAATACACTCATAAACATGCTGCTCTGGGATAGAAATTTTGGTTTCCTTACCTTTCTACGTTGGGATCAAATCCAATAACATAGTATGTTATGAAGACCCAAATTGTTACATTGAGCAACGAGAGGGGAGTCTTAATGATCCATGATGGCAAGGAGTATGTCCATGCAGGGTAGAAGAGAAGATCCCTTTGCTTGAAGAAAACTGGGAGCTTTGCAATAGTTAGGCCAATTTCTGCTAGTCCATTGAACATGACCATCAGGATCCCAAAGAACAGGGCACCCATGTATATCCTTCCATCTGTTACTGAGTCACGATGCATATTGGTTCGGAGAAAGACGGTCATCGTAATGAGTGCCATGAGTGTTAGCTGAACAATAGGTAGTAAACAAAAAGGAGTTGTCATTTAAGTTTCAGAGGTGTGGCTGACATAATTTGAATCTGAAAAAGCTCTGGTTCTTGAGAATCACCTGAACTGCCTTGAATATGTATACGAACGAATTTCTTTTCATTAGCAATATCTCTCTGTCAATATTTGCTTTAAGTAGCTCTTTCACGCTGGCGCCATATTTTGATGTTTTCAGAGCAGCAGGATGGCTCGTACTCTTGTCGAATGGGACTGCCAACTCATTTTGTATAGCCTCACCAACATGGAAAGATTGAAATGCTTCTGCAAACTCCTTCACGGGGACGTATCGGTAGGTGTCATCACCATGTTTCCAGTATTGTCTCTGATCTTTCTTTGATGTAACCTATCACATTTCAATTATTGCCCATCAAACTTGTGCATTATTATAGCCCAAAAAAAGATCAGCAGTACTGAATAATATGATCCTAGCATTACATATTTCTGAAATGTGTTATTTCGAGATCTTTTCTTTTTAATTAAATACCCTGCTAGAAAAAGCTTGGTACAGAACTGTAATGAAAGTACAAAACTTACTTTCCTGCAGGAAGTCGGCTACACCTTTCCGCTGCATGGCATTTGAAGCCAACTGACTCAAAGAACTCAAGAACATATTCACGAGGACCATTGTAGACAACCTGACCATCTGAGAGGAGAATTATATCATCAAACAATTCATATGTCTCAGGTGCAGGTTGTAGCAAAGTGATAACTGCTGTTCCGCCAACAATGTGAATGGTTTGCCGGATAGAGTTCACAATCTGGAAGGTTGTTGAGCTGTCAAGTCCGGTTGATATCTCATCCATGAAAAGGGCTCGTCCTGGGGTGACAAGCATCTCAGCTGCAGGGACAATTTCAAGCGTGAATGAGTTAGATCATAGAGAAGTAATCTGAGAATCTGATACTTAATTCTCAAGGTTCATTACCTGTAGTTACTCGCTTTTTTTGGCCTCCGGATATGCCTCTCAACATATTGTTTCCAACGATTGTGTCAGCACAGATATCCAACCCCAAGACCTGGAATTTATCGGATGTAAAATAAGTATTAGCAATGTATTACGTTTTTAATCTTCTGAAACCATTAAGAACATGGGAGGTAAATTTGTTGGCACTTTAGTAGGGTGCACCTTTAGTATGTAATTTGTGACCACATCAGCCTTTTGCTCTCCTGTAGCAGCAGCCTACATAATCAAAAGGTTGATGCATCAAACTTGTAATTGTAATGTCAGCAGGTGAAAAAGAACAACTGGAGCCGACTAAAAGCTGATGTATGATTTGCTCAAACCTTCATGTAGGTATCAGTTTCTTTATCTGGTATTATTCCTGCGTCCTTTTCTCTCCTTGACAATTCCACTAGCAAGTCTGAACATTTTTATCGAATGTTAATAATTCAATGTTATATATATGCTACTGAGAGGAGTTTTGAATTGTCTATTTCTTTCCTTGGTCTTACCATAGCGATGACCACTTCCTTGACATCTTGCAGAGAAATTGACCGTCTCACGAACAGTTAATTCTCCCATGTGTAGATCATGTTGACTGACATAAGCAGCTGATCTCCGGGCCTCAAACTCGTCCATTGTATGCCCATTGTAAGTTATATCCCCTGTTACCTTTGATTACAGTATATCATCATATTAGTATAGTACTCCCAAAGTTTATTCAAGTATTCATCCTTTACAAAGGACCATGCAAGAACGAAGCAAGTACCTCAAGATTTGAAGGGAGTGTTCCAGCTAAGGCCAGCAGCAGTGAGGTTTTCCCCGCGCCAGGAGGACCCAAAAGCAGTGTCATTCTGAAAACATCAGGAATAAGGTAAATACAAATGCCCTAAGGAGACAAATTCAGGGGTTCAGAATATGTTGGGATTGGGAAATTACCTGTGCGGCTTGATAATACCGCTGACATTGTGAAGGATCGATATTTTCTGTTTCCTACTTGGTGTTATGTGAAGCGCATTTACGATGCCCTATTTGACGTGGTTACCAACATGTCAGTTCACATTAAAGAGGATATTACAGGTTTTTGGAACAATGTATGATTGCATTCAGGTATACGAGATGCAATGGTACTCTGCAACTGCAGATCGACTTTGTAATGTTAAACGTGCAGTGACTGAAACAGGATATTCCAAGACTGAAACTACATGTCGCTTGAACTTATCAACATGTCTTATCAGCCATGGTACAGTATTTTTGTCCCACAACAAATCAGCGAACAGTACTTTTCAGCGAAGTGAACAGGGCAAGTCAAATTAGCATGAATATTCCTTGAGTAAAAAAAGGAGGAAAAAAGAATGACAAGCCAAATTAGCATGGATTTTTTTGTGAGAGAGAACAGGCCCCTACTGATAAAGAATAGAATTAAAACATTTGAGTACAAGTACAGAGCTAGTCAAATTAGTACGTTGACCTGAAACTCAGTTTAGCGCTTGATTAGACAATACTCGCGAGAGGCGAGACTAGTGTTTAAATCTAGTGGCTACAGTTTAGGGGTGTCACATCAGGTATTACATGTGGTGTCACATCGAGTGTTTTGATAGTAATAATAAAACAAATTATACAAGTCCTCAGTAATCCGCGGGATAAATTTATTAAGTCTAATTAATCCGTCATTAGCACATCTGTACTGTAGCACCACATTGTCAAATCATGGACTAATTAGTCTTAAAAATTCGTCTAGCAAATTTGTTTCAATCTGTGCATTTAATTTCATAATTAGTCTATATTTAATACTCCATGTATATGTCTAAATATCTGATATAACATGGACTAAAGTTTAGGAAGAGGGAAATAAACAAGTCAGCGCATGTTAGCGTGAGCAATAAGACCGCATGTTAGAGGACAGAGGACATGTTAGTGGACAGAGGACATCACAGGCATCCAGTTATCCTAACGAGCTTCCTTTGTTTGATGTGACATGCGTCCTACCATCTTTTTTGACTTATATATATGGATATAAATATACATGTGCCCAAATCCCTAAAATGGTGAATTCTAAATGCTGCTTGCCTGTCGTTAGCGATGATCAATGTCTCTGAATTACTACTAGATTGCTCGATGATCTGAATCGATTTGACAAATGACAAGTATGTCTGGTATTGGCGTAGAATTGTTTTTTTTTTTTGTACAACAAAAGAAGTTACTCAAGTCCAAAAGAGACAGAGGGGCCCTCTCGGTGTGGAACATACCTCGAGCACATTGGCGTATGTGTTGAAGATGGTGGGCAGGCCCCTGCTGCCGACATACGCCTCTGCCTTGACGTTCAGGTTCTGGTACCGCACTTCGATCTTGGGCAGCTCAATCCCCACTCTGCACCGTATAGAACAATAAACAGAAGGAAATCATCACGTTTGGCTGTGGCTTGTCGTAAACGATCATAAATTTTTAGTCGGAATAGTATTTTTCTCTCACACAAACCAGCCAGCAGTACTTCTTCACAAACCAGCAACGATACGAACCAGCTAACCGAATAGGCTGGCATCTCTATCTGTTTGTTTGTTTGCAGGATAATAAAGTTTTCACAAAGACGGAAATAGTTTAGCATTTGTTTTTGACTAATTATTGGTTTCCGAACCTATGGCACATGCATGGTGGCGGAAAAGGCAAGCTGACACTAGTGCGGAAGAAGAAGATGGCGGCACACACGGCAAGCCGGGAAACCGGCAACGATTGAGGCAGTGCATGCGGTCTCTTCTGTTACTTACCGGTCGACGCGGTCCTTAAACTTGGAGAGGAAGCGCTGGTGGTCGTCGCCGACCCAGGCGAGGCGCTGCAGCAGCGCGTGGCGCTCCTGCGGGTCGAGCTTCTGCACGTTCACCTGGCGGAGGTCGCCCTCGGGCATGGCGAGCACGGCCGTCCGCGCGCGGTCGTAGGTGGGCAGCTTCTCGAGCGCCGCCCACCGCAGGGCCTCCTCGTCGTCGTCGCCGCGCCCGCCCCCGCCCCCGCTGCCGCCATCCCCGCGCGACGACAGCGAGGAGAAGACGTTGCTGGCGGCCGACCACACCGATCCGTCCCGCCGCAGGCTCCCCAGCGCGTGTATCTCCCCGGCGTCGTCCATCCCGCCGCCGCCGACAAGGCCGCCGCCACGCCGCCAACAACGAGAAGAGAAGAGAAGAGGGGACTTGGATGAGAGGTTCCTCCTAGCTCTTCGGTGCCACTACGGGAACGGAATCGAACCGGCGGATGCGGATGACTAGCAGGTCGTTAGGCCTCGTCGTCTTGGACTGCCGCGCTCGTGTCGCATCTGCATCGCATCGGGTTATATAATATTGCGGTGCGGGGCGCCGCGAGGAGAAAGAAAGGGACCCCCCACAACCACAAGGTTGATCGACGACAGAGCTCGGTGGCCAGGTGGGTGTCTGTGGCGTGCACGCTCGACATGCGGTTGATGACGTCCGGCCTGACGACGCGACGCCTCGTGGGCTATACAAACTCGTATACAACTTTTATTTGCATGGCTCCGTCCAGGCCTCCAGCTCGGGCACGGGCACGGGCACCACGAGGCCTTCTATCTAGAGGTATACAAATCCATTTCATTTACTCGGGTGAGTGTGTACCTACTACTCACGTACAGCAACAGAATTCCAAATCTACAGTATACAAACGTGATTTAATTTTGCAAGGCACAGCTTGGAATAGGCTATTTCGCTATGGAGTTTGGAAGATCTTTAATGTGCTCGCAAAGTAACCACACAATTACTTATTATTATATTACTAGTAAAAGTGCCCGTGCGCTGCAACGGGAGAGAAAATATTGTTAGATATTTATGGGAAACAAAGACATGACTAGTATATAGGTATTTATGCTTTATTACCCTTTCTATAAATTTTAATGATTTTTATTTTATGATGACAAGGCACGCATAATACTAACTTGATAGTGGCAATAATATGTAAATGTCATATATTAAACCTATATCGAATTAAAATACAATATTTATAAATTGTATTGGTCTGTTAAAGTGCTCAATATTTTAGTTGATGGTTTGATTAGCTAAAAGAATAGATTTTGTTTCTAATAAAAACTTACCATCAATGTGCTTCTACGAGAGGTCCTTGCGCATCCATGTCCGCCGCCATGGTCAAAGTGCTGGGCGCGCGCCGCCTGCCCGTTGCTCAATCAAGCAGCACCTCGACAAACGAGGAACGAGGAAGTTGAAGTTGTTGGTCTGCCCTTCCCCTATCTCTCCCGTGTCGACGTTGGCGTTCACGGTGGGATCCTCAAACAGGTCCTGGAGACGGCGAAGGCATGGCGACTTCGTCCTCGCCAAAGAGCATGGCTGGTTGTCATAGCACACGCACGCACCGGATGACCTCCTCCCTCGGGAAAGATTCCTCGGAGCAGCGCTCTGTCTGCGACGCGTCAGCATCAGCGGCTTTGGTTTCTTCGATGCCGCGGGCGAGGCCACCTCGACCATGCCCAGATCGTGGCCGGCCTAGTCGTCCTGCGCGTCCTCAAGGAGTATGCACAGGTGTCCTATAGAGACCGGTATCTTTTATAGGTGTATATATATATAGTTTATATCGGCAAGGGAAAACACAAGCAAGAGGTTTTGACGCAACGTGATCGAGTTGGTTCGTATACGATGCGCGGTGCCTTAGTTTCCAAAACAAACACAAAAGAAATCCGATCGGAACATCTTGTATTTGATTTGGATTCTAGGTATATTCAGGTTATTTGAAGATGCCATACATATGTCATATATATATATATATATATATATATATATATATATATATATATATATATATATATATATATATATAACACGAGCTATAGATAAACGTGAAGAGAGACGATTTTCATATTTACGGATTTAGTTAGAGGAAGATGGTCCAAAAAATAGATGGACTAAAAATGGGCTGAAATTTTGCCTCTTTATTGTTTGAGAAGAAAAATAAATATAGACAGAAACTGAGAAATATTAGGGAAAAATAAATCTATAACTAAGTTATACATGATCCAATGAGTAAGAAATTTTAACTATAATTCAAACATACAATCATTAGCCCATCATAAAAATTTCACCACAATTGGATCATAGAAGTGCAGTTATGAATTATTCCATTTAATTACAGAAAAGCATAGATCTCAAACTCCAGCAAAAACTTTGTACTAAAGAATACCATATTATATGTTCACTGTGTAGATCTACTCATGTGGAGTCCAACAAAATTGGATTTTTCATTTTATGATTTTTCTATAATTTACTATAATTTTTTAAAGATTCAACGGAAATAAATAAAAAAGAAAAAAACAAAACCACCTGGGCAGGGTATTTGACCGGTTTTGAAAAGTTCAGGGGTAGAAAATCTGGTTTTATTGTTTTAGGGTGAAGTAGTCCATCCAAAATAGTTAGAGGTCATATAGACTTTTTCCAGATATTATAGAGGTATATAGATATAGATAGATAGGGCGATTGGTCTTTCCTGTAAATAAAGTTGAGACTCACGTGTGAATTCCCTAAACCGAAATCTATTTTCCTATTCGGCCAACCGTGCGTGCATGCTAATATTGCACGTCTCCTAATCTCTCTCCGTTTTACACACGTATAGATACATGCAAAGAATACTCACGCCCAGCTCATCTAAGTCCACACGTTTCCCTTTGTTGTCTTCCTTTTTCTCTTGTCTTGAAAATCAGCAGACAGTAATCGAACTCAATCTTAATGAGTTGTATACGTGGTACCCCATACATTACGGAGAAGAATAAACGGTCAGAAAATTAGATTTGCATAATTTATTTTTGATCGGTTGCATATTTGAGAATAGGAGACGGAGATGTTTTGGAATAGGACAGACAAAAAAAAAGGATGGACCAAAAAAAATGATCGAAAATTTTATCTCTTTATTATTATTAGGTATATATAGATTAATATTAGTTTGTCTGTGTTGGCCTTTGTTTAGCTATAACCGTGCGTAGTATAGTAGGTGGTGATACCTTTTAGTTCTTTTCTGAATTCACCCAGTTTGGTGTGTACAAATGACAATCATCACTCTCTCTACTGGTTGATTTGATCCATGATGGCCTGTATCAAGTTGATATGATGACCTAGCGTCCCATCTACTAAAGTCACATTCAGATGATGACGACAAACTTTCGTAAAAAAAAATGATGACGACAAACAATAATCTTTGTATTCCATAAGCACTCCAGTAATAATAATATATTCTTGCCTTAGAGATTTTTTTATGGTACTCCCATATAACTATGAACCATTCATTTAATTAAATCGTTTAAAATCATTTATTACTTACTAGGAGGTAAGATAATCTCCAATAGTATCCAAACGAGTCTCCCAATTCAGGAATTTTGGCAAGATTGAAAAAAAAAACTCATCTCCAAACTCTCAAACACACCTTCCAATCTTTTGACACTTGAAAAAACCACCCACGCGTGTAGAATTACACGCGCGTATCTTCACCCCAATCTGGAGGTGGAAGGATGTGGGGAAGAAAAAAAAATAGGACAGGGTTCCTGATGCAAATGTACCAGAGAGAAATAAAGTATAAAAGTGGTTAGTGTGATTTAGAAAATATTTTAGAATTCCTAATGTAAAATTACTGTCGATGTTTTACCACCGATAGCACTGCATGTGGGTACCGTGGCAAGTATAGTTCGAGCTTCGGGTATATTTGAACTTCGATAGTAAGCGCATAAGAGACAATCGATTTATCTGGTTGAGGCCCTCGATCGAAGATCGAAGTAACAACACGATCCGGTCGGCGTTTGCCTTTTGCGTTGGATTGATTATGAAGTGTTATGTCGTACCATTTTTAGGAGCCCTGCCCTCCTTTATATATTCAGGAGGCCGGAGTCCTAATCGGTTTACAATGAGATTTCCTAGTAGGATTACTTAATAGTTCTATTACTAAGATTACATGGGAAGAATCCTAGTTGAACTAGATCTTCTCTCTCTTGCGGGGTATCATGTGGGTCCCACATCGACAAGCCCCCGAGCACTTCATGGTTGAACTCTGAAAGTCTCGCTTTGCTCCTTCAAGTCTTGTTAGGTAGAAACAAAATGTTATCCGAGTGCTTTCTGGAGTGAAACCTTGTAGCGCTTCTTGGGACCTTCGAGTGGTGAGTGTTTTGTGAAGAAAAAGTACATCCATCTGGTTATAGCCCCCGAGCCTCTTGCTATTTAGAACAAGGAGCTGGAGGATCTTGTCTTGAAGTTGCTCTGATTGTTCGTTGAAGTTTTGTCAAAAAGAACTCGAATATGGCTCGTTCCGGGTTCTTTTTGTCATAATGTCTTGAAGTAGTCTGCGTTGAGGAAGTCTTTTTTGGTGACGGCGCTTTTGGAGAAAAGTGCACTCACCGAAAGTGTAGCCCCCGAGCGTCTTGCTATTTGGAACAAAAGTTGGAGGGTCTTGATCCTTTATGTTTGTTTGAAAATCGTGCTCAAGTAATCCCCGAGATTTGAATTTTGTCCTCATCCGAGTAGTTTTTGTGGTATCTTTCCAAGCGGTCCTTTAGTCTGGATTAAACCATCATCCGAGTAGTTTTCGTGGTATCTTTCCGAAGCGGTCCTTTAGTCTTGGATTAAACCATCATCCGAGTAGTTTCGTGGTATCTTTCCGAAGCGGTCCTTTAGTCTTGGATTAAACCATCATCCGAGTAGTTTCGTGGTGTGCGACCTCCGAGCCTATGTCCGGGTTCTTTTTGGGTGAGTGCAATTTTTCATAAAATTGCACTCATCGAGTGTAGCCCCCGAGCCTCTTGCTTTTGCTTGCAAAAGTTGGAGGTCCAGATTCTGTCTTCAAAATTTCGGGGCTATGTATCCCGCATGACCTCGTGCTTTCTCCGAGTTCTTTTCTTTTGAAAAAGAAGTCGGTTGAAGAATCTTGATGCGTTGTCGCGTCGTTGTAGTCTTGAGTTTCTTTGTACTTTTTGTCTTTTGTCTTTGTTTACGAGCCCCGGGAGTAGTTGAAATGAGTGCGGATTCCACGGCTTAGTGTTGATTAATCTGTGGATTTGGCCGAGCCCCGAGCGTATACCCGTGTTGTTTTGTTCGGGAAGAACTCGGATGCGAGGTCTTGGCGTATTCTTTGATA